TTTTTGCCTGATGCACTGTTGATTTGGGTTATTTAAAAGAACTTCTCATTTTAGACAGAGTTCCTGGGTGGTGCAGATGGTTTTAGGGCTTGGCTACTAACTGAAAGGTTGGCAGTTCAAATCCACCCATGGTTGCTTCGGAAGAAAGTCCTGGTGATCTCCTTCTGGCAGATCACACCCATTGAGGACGCTATGGAGCACGGTTCTACTCTGACACACATGGGGTCGCCGTGAGTCGGAGTCGATGTCATGGCAACTGCTTTGGTTTTTGCTTTGTTTTATTGGAGCACCTGCCTCTAAAACAACAGGGAGGCCAGTGCTGGGTGTGGACGGAGCTTCGCTTCTCAAACATCACTGCACCGCACCCGGTGAAAATGGCAGATTCGGGGCCAGCAGGCCGGGGGCAGGGCCCGAGAGTCTGCATTTCTAACAAGCTCCCACGTGAGGCTGCTGGTCCCAGGGCCACACCTGGAGAAGCACGGGGATGAATGTTCCTGAGAATAATCTGGAGAACGAACGTAAAATAAACAAACAAAACCAAGAACAAATTAAAGTTTCTTGAGCCCCAGTCCTGAAGAGGCAGGAGGAAGTCCTGGTGCTGCTGCTCATCGTCCGTGAACTGATTATTCCGTTCATTCACCAAGTGTTCCCGAGGCCAGCTCAGTGAACGCAGCCCAGGGAGCTGTTCTAGGGCTGGGAGCCAGGTGGGAACACCAGGCTGCGCGTTCTGTCCTGAGTGGGCTGAACTTCTGGGGACGGGTAGGGCCTCTTGTTAGTTGGAGTCAAGTCGGCCCTGACTTGTGGCAACCCCATGCACAAGGCAACACTGCCCGGTCCTGCACCATCCCCACGATTGGTTGTGGATCGGACCGTTGTGATCCATAGGGTTTTGCTGGGGTGATTTTCAGAAGATCGCCAGGCCTTTCTTCCTAGTCCGTCTTCGTCTGGACACTCCATTGAAACCTGTTCAGCATCGTGTTGTCACTAGCTGCTGTCAGGTAGATTCCGGCTCATGGAGGCCCCACGTGTGTCAGGGTAGAACTGTGCTCATAGGGTTTTCGAGGCTGTGACCTTTTGGAAGCAGATGCCTATTTTCCGAGGCACTTCTGGGTGGGTTTGAACCGCCAACCTTCTTGTTAAACACTTAACCGTGCGTGCTGCTCAGGGACTCCTTTGGTTCAGCACCGTAACAAGACACAAGCCTCCACTGGTGGGCTGGTGGTGGCTGTGCAGGAGGTCACGGCAGGCAAACCAGCGAATAACCCATTTCTGCAGGGGTGGCGGGTCTGCCATGACCTCGGTGCTAAAACCTTAGGGCAGCTCTTGGGCTTGGGAGACCCCTAGGCACGTGTCCGTATGCTGTTGTAAAATTTGCAAATGTACGACAGTTTCACCTCAAAGGGTTAAGAGCACTGTCTCTTTCTCACTCTGCTTTTAAAGCAAGCCTCCCACATCCTCTAAGCTTCTGGCCCCACAATCCCTGTATCGCCCCTGAACTTCAGAGCGTGGCAGTGCTGTTGAAGAGAGTGGGTACGGTGCCATATGCGGGCTGGTAGACAAGAGAGACCCGGGCTCGGTCCGCGGCCAGCTCAGCCGCCCTCACAGCGAGACTTTGGAAGGTGTCTCCTCCCCCAGCCTCACTTTCCCGACCTGTAAAATGGGTGGCCGAGGAGGGGCTCTCCTAGCTCTGACCTTCTGGGCCCCCACTGGCTGGAGGGAGGTTAGGAAAAAGCAGGGGGCTCATTGTCCTGGGCAGGGAGTGGGCAGGGGCTGGGACTAGCACTGCTATAACAGAAATACCACAAATGGGTGGCTTTAAAGAACAGCAATCTATGTTCCCACAGTTCAGGAGGCTAGCAATCCACAACAGGGCATCGGCTCTAGAAGTTTCTTCTCTTTCAGCTTCTAGAAGCTGCTGGCACCCCTCGGCATTCCGGGGCTTGTCGGTGTGTCTTTCCGTGTGTGTCGCTGTGTCTACAACCCCCTGCCATCTCCAGCTCATAGCAACCCTGTAGGACAGAGTAGAACTGGCCCCTAGGGTTTCCAAGGCTGTAATCTTGACATCCTACTCCCTTGGAGTGGCTGGTGGGCTCGAACTACCAACCTTTCTGTGTCTAATCTGCTCTTTTTATAATGCAGAAGTGATTAGGTTAATGACCCACCCTGCTCTGATGTGACCTCATTAGCATAATGAAAGAAAGCGCCTCTTTCTAAACAGGGTCATAATTACAGGTACAGGGGTTAGGACTTCAATATAAATTTTTGGGGGACACAATTCAGTCTATCGGGCAGGGGTTTTTTTTCTCCTCAATACTCACGGAACTCCTAGTCCAGGGAGGAAGCAGAGTCAAGACGTGGCAGAAACCAAAGCCAAGGTCAGACAATGGGGATGCAGTTTGGGGGGGTCACGGTACACTTTGGGGTGCCACTGACCTGGGATTGAGTCCTATGCCTTCTTTGCTAACTGGGTAACCCTGAGTGAGCCTCAGTTCAGTGGGTTGAACAGTGTCCCCCAAATTCACATCCACCCAGATCCTCCAGATGTGACCCCATTTGAAGTAGGGGTTTGCAGATGTCAGTGGTTAGGACTGTAATGACATCAGAGAACATCAGCTGTTGTTGCCATCGAGTTGGCTCCGACTCACTGCAACCCCAACAAACAACAGAACGAACCGTGGCCGGGTCCTGCTCTATCTTCTCGGTCATTGCTGTCTGAGCCCACTGTCCTGGCTACTGTGTCAATCCATCTCATGGAGGGTCTCCCTCATTTCACGGACCCTAGACCTTACCAACCATGATGGCCTTCTCCAGGGATTGATCCCTCCTGATAACATGTCCAAACTACGTGAGACGAAGTCTCCTTGCTTCTAAGGAGCATTCTGGTTGTATTTCTTCTAAGACAGATGTGTTCGTTCTTCTGGCAGGCCACGGTATATTCAGTATTGTTTGCCACCACCACAATTCAGACAGTAGTAGGTGGGCCCCAAATTCAATGAGACTGTCCTTGTAGGAGACAGAAAAGACTTACCCTAGAGGGAAGACAGCCATGTGAGGATGCAGGCAGAGACTGGAGTGATGCAGCCACAAGCCAAGGAGTGCTGGCCACCACAAGCTAGGAGAGAGGCCCGGAACAGACTCTCCCTCAGAGCCTCCAGAGGGAATCAACCCTGCCCACACCTTAATTTCAGACTCTGCCGACAGAACCACGAGAGAACACATTTCTGTTGCTTTAAGCCACCATGTTTGTGGTAATGTGACAGCACCCTAGGAATCTAGTTCACTCAGTTTGCTCATCTTTAAAATAGGGAGATCAGGATTAGAGGAAACGTTTGAGCCCAGCCAAGTGGCCACGTTCTTGCCCATCCTCAGGCCAGGTGGCTCCTTCCTGGACCTTTGGCTGAGCTGGGGCTGGAGCCGGGGCTGCTCCAGCTCTCAGACGCCGGGCTGGGCCTGCCTGGAGCTGTAGCATCCACTCCCAGGCTCCTCCAAGCCATGCGTCATCCAGCCCCGGGAAATCAGCGTCCTCGACCCCAGGAAGGTGGTGTCCTGAGCCCACATCACAGACGGCAGAACCAAGGAGTGCGAGGCAGCCTCCTGGGTCTGCTGCCCCCTACACCCTCGTGTGCAGACAAGCTTCTCCATCCACGGGGTCTTCTGGCATGTCTGCAGGCGCTCCTCCCCTGATGCTGGGACCTCCCGCCCGACCACCTGCTCACAGCACCCCAACCCCACGCATCACCCTGTCTCCAGCTCATGCTTGTCTACTCATCTGCCCTCCTCGCCACCGACTGTGAGAGGCCAGCCCTGTGCACAGGGAGGGGGCAGCAGGCCAACCAGGGAAGACCCCACCACCACCACACCTCCTCCCCAGGCCACACCGACCACGGCCCTGTGAAAGGGGCTTCCAGAGAAGCCTGCCCCAGGGTCAGCTCCTGCCCCCCACGGGTCTAGATGCCTTGCCGGGAGCTGGCCTGAAGGATCCTGTGACTTTCAGGAACATCCCAGGCCTCCCCTTCCCCCTTGAATGGTTTCCCAGGTCCAGACATCACTAGTCTTTGGCCCACAGGCTCCTGAGTCCAGTGCCCAGGGCAGACACCTGCCCAGCTGCTGCAGGAGAGGCGCCCAGGGCTTGGAGAGACTGCATCAGGCAGCGTGGACGCCAGGGCCAGCGACCAGGTGTCTTCAGCAAGCCCCACCTCCCCACCTTGCAAGCTCTGCCCCAGCACCTGCGGTCAGGCAGGTCCTGGCTCCGCCTCTCCTTCTCAGCTCCGGCAGTCCTGGCACCCACAGAGCAGGGGACAAAGTCAGAAGCCAGACTGGACTGCAGCAGGGCTGGCAGCTGGTCCCAGGTCTCCACTCCCTACAGGGCCCCTGCCACTTCTGAGATCTGCTTTTCTGGCGACCTGTGGGCCATGCCATCAGGGCTGGACGGACAACCTGGGATACAGCGACACGAAGGCCTCGATGATGTGGATGCGCCTGTCCCTCCAGTCAAAGACAGGAGAAGGGCAGACAAGCTTTATTCTGGCCTCCCCGTCCCACAGCCACCAGCAGAGGGTGGACAGGCTGCAGGGGTCCTGGGACACAGCCATGTACGGAAGTGGCTTGTGGCCATCATCCTGGGGCGGTCTGGGGCCCGACTGAGCCTGGGCAGGCGGAATCCGCCAGGATTCCCGGTCTCTGTGGGCGCGGATGTTCAGGGGCTTGAGGCAGAAAGTGGCCGATTCCATCCCGCGGACTTGAGGTTGATGGACGTACACTTGGGAGGTGCGATGTGAGGGTGAGTGGGGTCAGTGACTTGGACGCCCGGACGGGGGGGTGCTGTGGCCTGGGCCGAGCAGGGGTGCAGGTAGTTTTCCGACAAAGATGATTCCAGAGGGGGAAAGTGGGATGGTCACCAGGAGACCAGTGAGGACAGGGCAGAGTAAAAAAGTCTCGCACACACCCCAGACACAGATGCACACGCACACACACGGACGCACGGGGTAGGCCCCAGTCCCTCACATGACGCTCTGCCGGCCCCCGGCCCCCTCAAACTTGCCAGAGGCGCCGCCCCGGCTGAAGTCAATGAAGATCCCCTCGGAGTCCGAGTCCGCGGACTCCAGGATCTGGTCCACCAGGTTCTCGGGGCTGGAGGTGGGAGGGGAGCTGTGGGTGGGGTCCAGGCCCTGCTCGGCAGCCTGGGCCGGGGGGTACAGTCTGCTGGGGCAGGGCCCCGAGTAGGGGGCTGCGTCGGCAAAGCCCTGGGGCTCGGGACAGGACGTCATCTCAGAGACGGAGTGCCTGCGGATGCCCGCGCTGCTGCCCGCCGCCCCCTCGGCCTCGTGCTCGGCCACGGGGTTCAGCAGCGGCGTGTTGTAGCTCTTGGAACGCACCACGGGGTTCTTGGCCAGGACGTCCCCTGAGCGCGAACGGCGCAGAAGGCGCTTCTCTGCCGAGAGGAGACACGGGGCGAGGTGTCACGGGCGCGCGGAGGTACAGGTCCTGCGGGTGCCCCTCCATAGCCGCTGCCTGCTTGCTCCTGTGACCTTAGCCAACCCAGGGCACCCGTGTTCCAGGCCCTCCCTCAGGCCAGAGGCTGCCTGGTGAGCGCCCACTGTGCGCCCAGCTCTGCATGAAGGGAGAAGGTAAACCCAAACCAAACTCGTTGCCGTCGAGTCGATTCCGACTCACAGCAACTCTACAGGACAGAACAGAACTGTCACATAGGGATTCCAAGGCTGTCATCTTTATGGGAGCAGATAGCCACATCTTTCTCCCACGGAGCAGCTAGTGAGTTCAAATCGCTGACCTTTTCGTTAGCGGTTGCATGCTTAACCACTGCGCCACCAGGGCTCCTTAGTGACAAGGTCTGGGGATGCAGACCCAGGCCCTGCCCCCCGTGGGGGTAGCTCGACTGGGTAGGGTGTGGCAGTGGCCGAGGGGGAGGGAGGGAAGCACCAGAGGGAGAAGAGGTGAGTGTCTTTGCCCCAGCTGAGACTAGGCCCCTCCCTCTGTGGCCTGGACGAGTCCTGTCTTCCGGGGTCCCAGCCTCTCCAGCTGCACTGGCGGGAGTGGCGCCAAGGTGTGAGCCTCCTTTCCCATCTCCATCCTGCCAGTCATTGCCTATGGGACCCCAGAAAGACACCCAACCTCTCTGCCTCAGTTTCCCTGGTATCCTAGTGTGGAGCAGGGGGGACAACCCCCAGGTGACCGACAGAGGAGGAGGGCAGATGAGGGCCCTTTGGTGTAAGGTGAGGCCTGAGGATTTTATCCTGACTGTGATGGAGCCCCTGGACATCCCAGCACGGGGAGACACGGCCTGGCAGCTCTAAACAGGTCTCCCCGGCTACTGCGGGGCGAGGGCAGAGGCAGGGAGACAGTGAGGAGGCCCTTCAGTGGTCCAGGAGGGCTCAGGCTAGGCAGGTGAGGGAGAAGGGTTCAGGCTCCTACCCAGGACCCTGCAGTTCCAAGCCGTGGCCACGAGGGGGCAGGGCTGTGGGTGGCAAGCGGTTCTGGGGCCTTTCCCAGCCTGGGAGCAGAGGGGCTCCAACACTCTCCTCTCTGGGGCTGTGGTCTTGTCCTGGGCCCCACGGAGACTGAGGGACACAGTGTTCTCCTCTGGCTGCGGGTCCTGCCTGCGCTAAGCCCAGTGGGCGGATGGGGTACCTACACTGAGGCACCACTCTGGCTGGGGGGCCACGTTTCCCCGTACGGCCCTCGTAGCTGTGGGGGACTCCGGGGCTCTGGCAGCCCTGACCACCGGCCCCCGGTGCTCCACGCACATCTCTACCCAAGCCTGGTTCCTCCCCGTCCGGCAGCTCAGCGGTCACTTCTGCAGGGAGGCCTCCCCTGGGCTCCCCACCTACCACCCTCAGGACACCCGGGCACCCTTCCTGCACAGACCACTTGGGAAGCATTACTGGTTGGTCCCCCTTGGGGTGAGCTCACGGGGTGGGGCTGGCTGGCCTTGGTCTCTGCTGAACCCCCAGTGCCAAGGAAGAGAGCTGACCCAACACGGGTGACCAAGCAATGCTGAATGAACTGTCAGATAAGCAATGATGTCTGGTCTCTGCTGGACACGCCAGGCAGCCCAGAGACGCCCGCCAGCCCCTTCCCATCTCTCCACGCCCAGCCCCGCAGACCACTGTGCTCCCCGAACGAGGAGCCAGCATTTCCTGGCCCCAGGGACTCTGCCCAGCCAAGTCCGCATTTGCTCGGATCTAGTGCAGGTAGCGGTAATGGGAGGTAGCGGGCCCCCGCAGGATTTCAGGGAAGTCTCCCATCACCATTCATGGTGTCTGCTCACCGGGTCCCCTCAGCCCTGGAAGGAGGAGTGCTCAGCCCCAGCACGCGACAGGGCAGGGTGGGGCTCAGGACAGGTTTGCTAAATGACTGAGAAAGCTAATTCTGAGTTTGATCTGGCTCAGCCAGGACTTTGTCGTGGGGCCCTGGGCAGGTTGCTTCCCCTCCCTGGGCCTCAGTTTGCCAATCTGTCACTGGAAGGGTTCGCCCACCTCCCCCCCACACCCTGAACAGAGGCAAAGGGGGCTGGTGGTCACTGCAGAAAGGGCACCCCCATTCCAGGTGATGCTCTCACCCCACCCTGGCCCGGGGAGACCTACCCAGGATGCAGGCGTGTGTGAAGGAACCCTCGCTGGAATAGAGGCCGTAGGTGCCCAGGTAGGGTGACACCACCTTTTGGACCAGTGCCTCCAGCCGCAGGTAGTCCTCGGTCACGCCCCTGGACTCGTGCACCCCCTGCAGGAGGACAGAGGGGGTCAGGCACCCTCGGCCAGGCTGTCCCCTCCACAGCCAGCCTGTCCTCCACCTCCACAGCCGGCCCGCGCAGCCTGGGACCAGTGGGCTAAGTGGGAAGCTGCAGGACACACGATGGCCAACAGGTGGCAGCACCACCCTGCCAAGGAGCAGCCTGGCTTCCACCAGGCACTGGGGACACGGCAAACTTCATACAATTAAAGTGGGACCTTCTCAACCTCTAAGGAGTCCCTGGGTGGTGCAAAAAGTTCACACGCTCAGCTGCTAACCAAAAGGTCGGAGGTTCAAGGCCACCCAGAGGCACCTCGGAAGAAAGGACTGGTGATCTACTTCTGAAAACTCAGCCACTGAAAGCCCCACGGAGCCGAGGTGCAGAAGCTGCTTGCCTGAAGGCAGACAGGTGGAAAGTGGCAGCGCTGGGCTTCAAACCTGGGTCAGCCTGACTGCAAAGCCCATTCTGTGTGAAGGGTTCACAGCCACAGCCCCTGACCATCCAGCTGCTCTGCTGACTGTCCAGGAAAGACCTGGGCAGGCAAGGCACTGGGCAGGCAGCCCCTGGCTTCCATCCCTTCCGCGCTCTAGGGCTGGAGAAGCTGTTACGGTCTCTCTCTGTCCAGGGCCCCGCAGCCCAGCTCCCCCAGCTGAGGCTTTTCACAGAAGACCCAGCAGCCAGTGTAATTTGTGTGCCCCCAAATACATGTTGGAACCCTAACCCTTATACCTGTGGATGTGATCCCATTTGTTATGACAGTGAGGCCCCATCAGTATAGAGAGGCCCCTGGGTGGCACAGTTTGTGCTCTACTAACCAAAAGGTTGGTTCAAACCCACCCAGTGGCACCTTACAAGAAAGGTCTGTCTGGTGATCTGCTTCCGTAAAGATTACAGTCAAGAAAACTCTATGGAGCTCAGTTCTACTCTGTAACACACAGGGTCTCCATGAGAAGGAATCGACTTGACAAGCAGTGGTTTTTTCAAATCAGTGTAGGGTGGGTCCTAAACCTAATCACTTCTGAGTTATGAAAAGAGCAGAACAGAACAAAAGCAAGCACAAACATGAAGATCACCAAGGAACCCAGGAACGCTGGGGCTAGAGAAGCTGAGACAAAGACCTTCCCCTAGAGCTGACAGAGAGAGCCTTCCCCTGGAGCTGGCACCCTGAATTCAGACTCCCAGCCACCTAAACTGTGAGAAGATAAATTTATGTTCTTCAAAGCACCTACTTGTGGTATTTGTTACAGCAGCACTAGGAGACTAAGACGGACAGGTACTAGAACATCACCCAGGCCCTTTGTCCAGCCCCTGCCCACGGGGCCAACCTGTGGGGCCCTGCACACTCCTGGGCTCCCCATGGATCAGGCTGAGGCTAGGCGTCTCCTGAACCTCATCTTCATCCAGGTCCTGCCCCCCTTGCTTTGCTCTCTCCCGGTTTCTCCTCATGTCCTCAGCTGAGGCTCTGCCCCCAGGGAGCCTGACTTCCTGCCCCCTGACCTCCCAGGTACCCCCTCACCTGCAGCACCAGCAGCATCTGTACAATGGCAGGTGGCACGCGGGCATGGGTGCGGGCCAGTGCATCTTCCAGCTTCACGCTGAGTGTGATGGTGTTCCGGAAGTGCAGCAGGGCCAGCTGGCGCACCGAAGGCTCCTTGCCCTGTGGACACAGGATGCAGTGCCCCACCCCAATGTTGTCATGAGTGGGTGAGGGGTTTACATTAACCTCACCCCAAGAATTTTGTCTTTGACCTTGGTTCCTGAGACATAATCTCTAAAAAAGCCTTGGAATTTAAGTGTCTTTGGTAAGGACTCTAAACCACACCTAACTGACAGGTTGAGTGAGGCGATGAGGTAAGCCGGGGTGAGGGCTGGCCAGGCCGGAAAGACCACCTTCCACCTCATGGTATTGACTGACCTCAGGAAGAAGGGGCTGGAGGCTGAGAGACATCCGGTCAAGGCTCTGGACATGGAAGCACCCTGGGCTTCCTGGTTGGTGATAGACATCAATGCAGAGGGCAGCGTGTCCCTTTTTGGGACTTGGAAGCTCCACACAGGGAACCCTCCTAGACCTCACCCTACGTGTCTCTTCATTTGTGCCCTTTTCCCTACAGTAAAACTGCTACAGCGCACATAACGCTTTCCATGAGTTCTGTGGGTTGTTCTAGCAAGTTATCAAACCCGACGGAGAAGTGGGAGCCAGCAGGTCAGAAGTGAGGGACCCAGGAGGCCCCTCAAGTTTGCAGCTGGCATCCGGAGGGGTAGAGGGAACCCCTGAACTTGTAGCCAGCAGGTCAGAAGCGAGAGTGTCGTGGGAACCCCCAAGCTTGCGGCTGGCGTCTGAGGTCTTGGGCTGACCTGGCAGTCCAGAGGACTGTGTCCTTCAGCTCATGAAGCCTGACCTCGCTCTGGGTAGACGGGGTAAGGGGAGGAAGTGCTGAACTGAACAGAGAAGTGTGAAGTGGGGATGCATGCTGTTCATCATCCTAACCGCGGGCCTCGTTCCTCCTTCTCCCCGCCCCAGCTCTAGGGGGGGCACACAGGGGAATGGACTTGCTGACCCTCGGGCTCCCTCCACCCCCTCGTTCTTCATCCCCAGATGACCCCTGACCCAAGGACAGATTGCAGTACTGCTTCCTGGGTTAGTATCACACACAGAGCGTCTACTGTGTGCCGGGCCGGGGCTTACTGCTTGGGCTTCACAGGGCCGTGAGAGGGAGCTGTCCTTGTTTCTGTTTTGTAGGTATGGGAGCGGGCAGAGACGGCCAGTGACGCGCAAGGCTCGGACACACAGGAATGGCCGAGCAGGGGACAGCAGCTCTGCCTCCTTCCCAGGAGTGAGGCCAGGGGGGGTCGCTGCCCCCTGGGGTCCCACACCGCGTGGGGCGGGCCTGCTCCCCTCGCCACGGGGGCTCTCACCTGTACGGGGTAGAAGATGGCCTGGAGCATAGGCAACACGTCACTGAAAAAGAAGTCCCACGTCTCCGCCAGCGAGTCCAGCAGCTTCTGTCCTGTGGGCACAGACAGCCGTCACCAAGCGGCTCTCGCAGATGCTGTCAGCTCACCGAGAACCTGGAACTATCTCGCTCGCCGGAAGGAGGGCCCAGGAGCTGAGGGCCCGGGTTCTGAGCCTAGAGGCACCTGCCCGAGGCTGACTTCCGGCTCTGTCACCTGGGCCAGCTACTTAGTCTCGCCGTGCCTCAGTCTCCCCATTTGTGAAATGGGACAGTAACAGGGCCAACCTCCCAAGAGACGAGACCAGGGCCCAGGGCCTGGTGAGGGTGAGGCCTGGTAAATGCCACCTGCTGGTGCCCATTCCCTCAGCAGATACGTCCTGAACTAGAGTCTCAGCTCACATTCTGGCTCATCCAGTCCTCTTGACGACCCTGCCAAGCAGTCGGCGAATCCAGCCACCCACCCAGGCACGCACTCATCCCTCCATCCACTCAGAATTCATCCATCCAGCCACCCACCCTCCCATCCATTCACCCACCCACCATCTATCCATCCATCATCCAGCCACCCACCCTTGCATCCATTCACCCACTCACCCACCATCCATCCAACCATCCACTGGCCTATCCACCTACCCACCCAAGCACCCACAACCATCTATCTGTCCGTCATCCATCCAGCCACCCACCCACCATCTATCCATCCATCCATTCACCCACCATCTATCCATCCATTCAGCCACCCTCTCATCCATTCACCCACCCACTATCCATCATCCATCCAGCCACCCACCCACCCACCATCTATCCATCCATCATCCATCTAGCCACCCACCCTCCCATCCGTTCACCCACTCACCATCTATCCATCCATCATCCAGCCGGCCACCCATGTACCCATTCATCCATCCATCTACCCACCATTTGTCTATCCATTCATCCACCTGCCAATCCACCCACCCACCGAAGCACCCATCCACCAACCCATCCACCTTCTCTAACCCCTTCCTTCCACCCACCTGTCCAGCCATCTGTTCGCCCAGTCCAACAAACATTGACAGAGCCCTACTCTGTGCCAGGCCCGACACTGGGACCTGGACACCCAGTGCAGCCCCAAGCAGCCCCAGTCCCACCATGTGACAGGGAAGCAGGACACTGATCAGAAATACGAGGACAATGCCCCACTGAGCAGATGAAGGAGTGGAGAGGAGGGGAGTGCCCATGGTTATGCATCCTGGGGACAGCCTCGGTACAGTTCCAGGTTGTCTGCTCCATCCCAGAGGCCCAGGCAGCCAGGGAGACCTCTTATAACAGCAGCAAGGTGTCCAAGGTAGGAGAGGTAGGGGGAATCGAGCAGGGAAGACTTCCTGGAGGAGATGCTGGTCCAAGCCAGATTTAGGAGGAGGAGTTGGCCCTGTTGACTGCGAGGGTGTGGGACAAGCTCTGAGCACATCTCTGCCACTGGGGGAAGGAGGGGTTCTGTGTTCATGATGGGGGCCCTTGGAGAACGGGGGAAGCTGAGGGGTCCCAAAGCCAGCTCTGGGCTCCACCAGGAGGCTCCTGCTCCCTGGCCTTTCTGCCTGGACCGAGGAGCTGGGATGCAGGGCTGCTGGGTCTGGGTAGAGCAGGTCTGTGTCCCCATGAGCCCCCAAGGCCTCTGCTGCTTGGCAGACCCCCACCCGGAGGGCCTACATGCAGTCGGCTGGAGAAAACCTGGGCATTGATGGAGTCAGCGAGCGAAGCGGGGAAAATGCGCTGGGTGGAAACTGAGTGCTGGCTGGCATCCAGACCACTGCTGAGGCCAGGGGCCACCTTGAGGTTTCCATGGGGACGAGAGGCCAGACAGGACCTTTGCCTCCTCTCCCACTCTCGCTAGGACCTGTGCTGGGGCCCTAGAGGGGGCTGGCCGCGAGCAGCACCGAGGCTGTCCAGCCTGCGTCCCACCCTCGGCCTGGCCTCCCGAGTGGCCCACACCTGGCTCCGCACGGACTGGCCGCAGGAATGCCCGGCAGGCAGACGCTCACTGCCCTGCAGGGATCTGCGTGCACAAAGGCCCCTTCAGTCCCTGCCGTCTTCGGGCAGGGAGAAAGGCGCCTCAGTCCTTGAGTGGCCGTGGGGTGGCTCTGGGCACTGGCCAGGCCACGGCTGCTGAGCGGGCTGTTCTCCAGCCCCCGGGGCAGAAACGCAGGGTGGAGAGCAGATGTTGTAAAACGCCACCTCGGGCCCAGCCCGAGCCACGCACTGGCCATGAGGCCAGCAGGACAGCCTCCGTCCCAAGCTAGCTGCTCTGCTGGGGACTGTGGTGTGGGGGTACCTGGCGGGCGGCGGGTTGTCAGTGGTTACTGAGCTGGAGAGCACGGGGTGGAAGCTCAGATCTGCCCTGCACTGCAGGACCCCTGGTGGGCTCGCTGACCTGAGCCTCAGTGTTGCCCTCTGTGAAATGGGCCACACGAGAAGGTCCCCATGCGGGTAGGGGTGGAGCTGCTGCACAGGGAGTGCTTAGTAAGTCCATACAGTGCTGCTGGGTGGACGCGTGCGTGCCCCTTCCTGGCTCATGTCCAGGGGGCGGCAGACGGCAACGCCCAGCAGGCACCAGTTCAGGTGGGCCGGCCATCACGTTGGGCCACACCCGGGAGTGGGTCTGTCAATCTGTCTGTCTCTCTTCCTTGTATTCAGTCCGGGCCTGTTGAGGGCTGATGTGTACATCCTGGGTGCAGTGGGAGCCAGCCCAGTCCTAGCCCCCAGCCTTACAGCCCACAGTGGGCAGACCCCAGACATGGACAACGATGATGCAAGATGCCCCAGCAGGTCTGCAAGGGGACACGACCAGGGCGGGGGCAGCCGGGGTGACGCACAGGCCACGTACGCGGAGGGGCTGGCGCCCAGACCTGGGGCCCCCTGACCTAAGCCCAGCTTAGCTCCCAGCTGGGAGAGCAGCCAGGGCCCAGGGCCGGCAGAGACCACGCCATCCCCTCCCTCATAGCTCCGGAGAGAGACTGGCTGCTAAGAAGGGACCCTGGCTGTAGTGGGCTGGTCCCCGGAAGCTGTCTTCCCGGGGTCCCCAGGCCACATTCTTGGTTGCAGTTCACCTTCCTGGCAGGACGCCTGTCCACCCTAAGGCTGCCTCTCTGTGCCTCCCGTTTCCAGGGATCTCTCTGCTTGGGAGCTGAGTCCAAGGCCTTGCGGTGGGTGGGAGAAGGGGCAGGCCCGCCTACCCTGTGCCTGAGCCACTGCCCACTCCTTCCAGCCGAGCCACAGGCTGAGGACATGGACGGCCACAGGGAGCCATCTCAAGCTGACAGAGCCTGGAGCTTCCAGTGGGACCCCAACTAGAGGGGGAGGAGGAAGGGGATCTCCGAGTCCACACTTCAGGGTGCAATGGTGGCTGCTATCCCCACTGCATGGGAGCTGAAGAGGCCAGACATCCATCTGAACACACCTCTTCCAAGCAGCCCTCCCTGACTGCCAGGCTGGAATTAACCTTTCCTTCCCTAGGGCTTCTCTCTACCATGACATTATCGCACTGTACTGTCACCATTTGGTCCCTGTCTGTGTCCCCAGCTTGGCTGTGAGCCCCTCCAGGGCAGGGCCTGCTATCCTGTCTTTGGGTCCCCTGGGGCCACCTGGCGCCTGACAAATAGTGAGCACTCAGGGAGTCTGTGCTGAGCGTGTGGATGGGGCCTGGCCAGCCCTACAGTGTTAGGATGAGGCCACTGAACTGGACAGGGGAAAGGACCCTGGGCAGGGCTTCTGACCCTGGCCTGGGCTCCATCCCTGCAGGCGGTTGACGGGCTGGCGAGACAGAGGGCATTGTTGGCCCCTGGGTGGCCCAGCGGGCACGGATGCTGCAGGCAGCGCTCCACAGCCACACAAAGCTGCCATTCTCTGATGGCGCCCCGCACCCCGGGATGGCAGGGTAGACGTGTGGGCACCATCGGAATGTGCCAAGTCAGAAGTGGGCCGTAGGAGGGCTCCTTTGCCGGGCGCCACATCCTCACCACTCTGTCCCACCAGCCGGAGCGCTGCCCACTCCAGGAAGCAAGGCCCCCCCACCCCGGCTGGTTAGTCCTCAGGCTCCCGCCTCGTGAGCCCCGCCCGATGTGCGCTGCGCAAGACCAGCAGCAACTAGTTCACCGGGAGCACGTCAGGATCGTCCCAGGCCTCGGTCTATTCCTCTGTGAAATGGGCTAACAGCCCTTCCCCTCAGGCCAGAGGGAGCCCTCAGGAGGAAACAAGCAGAGCAGGGAGGTGCAGGGGGGGGGCTCGGAGCCGGCTGCCTTCATTTGCACCCGGCGCTGCGTGGCGCTTAGCTGCACCGTGCCTCGGTTTCCCCATACATGTGTTCAGTGGCAATAACAATGGGGGCCTCCTTCACAGGGTTGTTGGGGGACAGGTAAGTTAGTAGGTGTGAAACACTGAGTTTGGCACACCGTAAGCACACTCCCAGGGCCTGGTACACAGTAGGCCTTCAGCAAAGAGGGTCTGAGCTGAGTTCTCCCCATAATCCGCTCTCTCCCGATGCTGATCTACCTAGCAAGGAAGCGCACACAAGCCTCTTGGACACTGGGGGCCCCAGAGAGCAGGGACTGCTGACCCCAAGCCAGGCAAGGAGGCCACTAGGACCCCCTGGGCCTCTAGGAGGGCAAAGGGCGTGGGCTCAGGAGTCAGGCAGACATGGGTTCGAGTCCCGCCTCCCCACTTTGCAATGTGACCACAGGTAGATCACCTGCTATCACCACGCCTGTCCTCAGCTCTGAAACGGGGACCCTGAGGTCTGATAGGGTGGGTGAGAGAAAAGAAAAAACTCACCTACAACGCGCAGCGCTGAGCCTTTGGGCTCCAGACCCCAGCTCAGCTGCTCCCCCTCAGTACCCACTCCCTCCCCACGCACCCTCTCCCCAGCCTCAGCCATGCCCACCCCCTCACACCGCCCCTCCTCATCCAGCTGGACTTATCAACCATCCTGACAAAGTCCCCTCTGGGCGTGCTGGAGGTCTTTTTGAATCTTGGTTTTAAGATTCAACAAGCCAGCCACAAGGTCCAGCTTCAGGTCACCATCGAGGTGTCTGTGAACACAGAGTTGGTGCCTGTAACACAGAGGTGCTCACAGTGTGGTGTGGAGGTCCCTGAGAGCCTTTTGGGGCGGGGGGTTCCAGAGATCAAAACTGTTTCCATTTGCCTTTCTTACTCTTAATGTCTCATGAGGGCACAGTGGAATTTTCCAGAAAATACATGCTCTGTGATCAGGTATGTCATCGCTCCGACAGATAACAGAATGTGCATGCTCGTGGGATCTTCTGTTTTTTAGAATTTTCTATGGCAAGCTCTTTGGGGGTCCTCATACTGTTTAAGGGTGTAAAGCGATCTTGCGACCCAAACATTTCAGAACTGCCACTTTAATGCATTAGCACCGTTGGTGGATCGGCCTTCAAGCAGCTGCAGATACACATCTCTCAGGCCAGGTCTCTGCGCTTTCCCTACAATCCTGTCAGGAGCCTCTACCTGTGTGGGCCCCAGGGGCTGGCCTGGCTTCTGCCCACTTCGGGCCTGGCTCCCCAGCATCCCAGGGAGACTGTAAGCATTCCAAGGTTCTTCCAACGTGTGTCCTTCCTGCCGACTTGGCCAGACACTGTTTCTGTTGCTTGCCGCCAAAGAACGCTAACTGACTTAGCTCCAAAACCGGGCAGGGGGCTCCTGGTGGATGTGCCCTGGTGGACGAGCCAGCTCCCGGCCCCCCGCTGTTCCTGCTCTGAGGACAGAGGTGCCATCCTGCCAGCTAACCACTCCAGAACTCAGCCCAGAAATGACTTGCAGCCACACCCTGTGCCTCGTGGACTCTTCCTCCTTCTCCCATGTGAAAGGCAGGGCAAACTCTGCCCTGAGCCAGTTCCCGGCAGGCCCTCAAAGACCCTGCCAGGGCTTCTGCCAGGCCGTTGGAATGGGAATCACTCTACCGGGTAGCGAGGTGAAGCAGGGCCTCCTCATCAACGCCATGGCCCTACTGGGCCCTACCAGTTGGCGGGCAGACGTGCTCCCTGACATGGTCTCCTCCTGGGTACGGATCTGGGCCCTGCCTGCCCCTGCAGTCCCATTTCCGGCACCTTCCATGCCGTCCTGACCGTGAGAGCCATACCTGCCACCCAGAGCTGCAAGGGCCCAAGAACGGCCCAGCAGTCACCGTGACAGCCACCAGGCGCGCCTGCTGTGCACTGCCCCCCGGCACCCATCTGACGTCCCCACAGCACAGTGGCCCAGCACGCGGTCCCGGCCCCATCGCCAGACTCACCCTCATAGAAGCGGATCTTGTCCCGAAGGATCACCATGCCTTTTGTCAGCAGCTGGTTCTGCAAGATGAGCACGGATGCCATCACTGTCGGTGGGCGGGATCCCGGAGCCCTTCCAGGGAGGGGAAGGGACTTGCCGAGGACCCTCAGCCTGCCCGGGGACCACGCCAACACCTGACCCCACCTGTGTTGTCAGGGGACGGGAGGTGGCTGCAGGGACGTCCCCCGAGAGACAGGCCGAGCCTGAGGTTCCTTGTGCCGTGTGTCCCAGAGACAAAGGGCTTACGAAGTGGGAGGTGGTCCGTTTAGCGCAGGCTCGGCCGGTGAATTACCACCAGGAACGGGAGGCTCACAGCCCAGACCCTGCCCACAGCTGCCCTGGGCATCTGGCTGAGAACACACCACGTGGTCTCAGTGCTGCTCACGACAGCCCTCAGCGATGAACGGGTAAAGAACACGTTGTGTGTGCGTGTGTTGTTGTGGTTACGTGCCTTGCGGTCGATTCCCGCTCACAGCAACCCCATGTGTGATGGAACAGAACTGCCCTATAGGGTCTTCTAGGCTGTAATCTTTCTCCCACAGAGCCACTGGGTGGGTTCAAACCACCAACCTTTCAATCAGCAGTTGAGCACTTAACTGCTGCACCACCAGGGCTCCTTGTATTTGCATACAGTGGACTATTCCTCAGTCGTAAAAAGGAATGAAGTCCTGATACACGGGACGACATGGATGAGCCTTGAAAACATTACCCCAAGTGAAAGCCAGACACAAAAGCTCACGCGTTCTATGATTCCAAAAAACCAAACCCAACCCACCGCCATCGAGTTGATTCTGACTCACAGCGACCCTGCAGGACAGAGTAGAACTGCCCTATGAGGTTTCCAAGGAGCGGCTGGTGGATTCGAACTCCCAACCTTTTGGTCAGCAGCTGAACACTTAGCCGCTGTGCCACCTGGGCTCGTCTAGGATCCCCTCTATATGAAACATCCAGAACACGCAAAGCCATAGCAATAGAAACGCGGTCAGAGGTTTCCAGGGGGTGGGGGGAGGGGGACGGACAGTGACTGCTAACAGGTGCAGGGTTTCTTCTAGGGTGACGGAGATGTTCTGGAACATTCTGGAATTAGATAGTGATGATGGTGGCACAATCTCGGGAATATAGTAAAAACCACTGAATTGTGTATTTTAGATGGATGGATTGTATGTCACATGAATTACGTATCTCAGGAAAGCTGTTGTATTAAAACGGCAACCACAACACACAAACCCACACGCAGTGAGGAACCACGTGCCGTCCTCATCCAGCCCTGGGCCGGGCGGGCCGTCGCTCTGGACCTGCACAGACACCCCTGATGGACGGGGCCCTGAGGGCCTGCACTGCCCCAAGGAGCTGCATGAGCACTGGGCCAGGAGCTGCTCGCTGCCCCTCGGGCTGTGTGACCTCAGGCAGGCTGTGGGCTCTCTCTGTCCCGTTTCCCGAGGGTCAATCGGCTGTGTGGGCTGGTCGGCCCGATGGGGGCAGAGCCGGCACTGGGCGCCTCGGTTGCTGCTGATACCACGAGGGTCAGGAGGGTCCAAATGCGGACACCCGGGTCATGACCTGGTATTCTGGGAGGGAGTGGACAAGTAATAACAAAACGGACAGCGAGTCCCCACACTGGCCAGGCACAGCGCTATGACTTTTCCATCTTCACAAGAAGCCATGTTGGCCAGGCGGGGAAACCAAGTCACAGTGAGGTGGGGTCCTCGGAACCCAGGCAGGCAAGGTAGAGCTGCCGCCAGGGTTGGTCGCCCTGCCTCCTCTGGCCCTCTCAGGAAGCAAGCTCGGCCCAGCTGGAGAGCAGGACCACCCACCTGCAGGTACTCGGTGAAGAAGGACCCCAGCTCCGTCTTCAGCAGCTGCCTGTGGGAGGAGAGGGGGACGAGAGGGAGAGAGGGCAGGAGTCAGAGAACACAGGTGTTGGCGGGGCGGGACCCTGGGGGCTGCGCAGTCCACAGTCTTGGTTCATCAAGTACACCCCCTACCCATTGCACACAGGAGGACGTTGGGGGCCCCCAGGGCAAAGCGAGGGCCACTGCATCTCACGCTTTCTCAGGGAGACACCTGGGGGGGCTGGGCCTCCAGCACCCAGGTCGGCTCCCTGCTTCTACCCGCCAAACCCAAGCCAGGTAGGACTCCACGCCCACTCTCCCTCTGGGTTTACATGTGTGTCCCTGCTCGGGATTGAAGTGTGTGTCTTCCACGATACACACTGGAATCCTCAAACTGCGGATGCAATCCCATTTGGACACTGGGTTTTCTTTGTTATGTTATGTTAATGCAGGGTTGGTCCCAAACCAAAAGCAGATTAGACATGGAGGCACGTGAGCTGATACACACACACGTGCATGCTGGGAAGACAGACGCTGCGTGAGGATCGTGTACAAGCCCAGGAACCAAAGAATGCCTGAGCCACCTACTGGGAAGGAACCGACCCAGCCGAGACCCTGATTTGGACTTCTAGCCCCCAGAACTGTGACGCAATAAATTTCTCTCGTTTCAAGCAGCCCACCTGGAGCATCTCTGTTACAGCAGCAAGAGGAAGCTAAGACATTCTACCTTGCTCTGCTCTCGAGAATCTCATTCAATCTTCACTGAGCCAATGGCAGGCATTATGACTCTCCTTTTGCAGGTGAGGCAGGAGAGGCTCAGAGAGGTCAAGCGACTTGTCCAAGGCCACACAGGACACATCAGAGTTAGGATCTGAACCTCGTCCTCTGCACACCACCTCCAGGGGCTGACAGAATGGTGAGTGTCTGTTTCATGCCAACCACAGACTGAAGACACTCGGCCACAGTCAACGTTGAGGCCCAAGAGTCATCTCACCAACAGTCCTTATGTTCTAGACAAATGCAGTGGTTAAGCGCTCGGCTGCTGACTGAAAGGGTGGCAGTTTGAACCCGCCAGCTGCTCCTCGGGGGAAAGATGTGGCAATCTGCTTCTGTAAAGATTTACAGCCTTGGAAACCCTGTGGGGCAGTTCTACTCTGTCCTATAGGGTTGCTATGAGTTAGAAATCAACTCCACGGCAGTGGGTATTCCCATCAGAAGGAGCCCTGTGGTGCAATGGTTAAAGCGCTCAGCTGCTAATCAAAAGGTCAATGGTTCCAACCCACCAGCAGCTCCTTGAGAGAAAAGACCAGGTGATCTGCTTCCGTAAAGATTTCAGCCTAGGAAACCCCATGGTGCAGTTCTACTCTGTCATATAGGGTCGCTGTGACAATTCCCATCAGGAGCTCCGGGTTAACTGCTCGACTACTAGCCTAAAGGTTCGAGGTTCAAACCTACTCAGAGGTGCCTAGGAAGAAAGGCCTGGTGATCTGCTTCTGAAAGGTCACAGCCTTGAAAACCCTGTGGAACACAGTTCTGCTCTGCACACGTGGGGTCACCTTGAGCTGGCACTGACTCCACAGCAGTTAACAACAGTTCAACAGGGGAACAGCTTTAGGCAATTCTGAACCCCAGGCAGCCCTCACTTTGCATGGTTCTAAGACGGATGGACTTCAGTTACCACGGTTTTGTCAAGTAACACTAGGAGTCCCTGGGTGCTGCAAACGGTGTGAGTCCAGCCAGAGGCAGCTTGGAAGAAAGGCTTGGCAACCTACTTCCAAAAAATCAGCCATTGAAAACCCTAAGAAGCGCAGTTCTACTGACACATGTGGGGTTGCCACGAGTCGGAATCGATTCAACGGCAACTGATTGGTGGTCGCAAATACCCTTTTATTCCTAACCTAAAAGGAAGAGGGGAAGGTTTGCCACCTACTTTTCCCAGAGTGCTGCAGGTCAGGGCTGGGAAGGAGAGCTGGAGAACGCCTCTCGGTCCTGTGCAGCTGTGTGACCCTGGGCAAATCTCCTGACCTCTCTGAGCGCCAGCTTCCTGGACCATGAAACAGCATTAACAAGCAGCTGGTCTCTCAGGTTCTTGTGGAGCCGCCACCGATGCCTGGCTCCCAGCGGCAGCTCCATGGGCTCGCAGCTGTCCCCGGATCCCCTTCCCATGTGCTCATTTCTCTGCCACCCACAGGAAATGAGGGGCCTCCGGACGGGCTGTGATTGCTTTTCCCGTCATTAGGCAGGTGGGCCCTTCCTCTTTAGCAGAATACATCTCCTTGGCGATGCTCAGCACAGCACACAATGTGGGCGTTACCTCGAGCCACTGTCACAGTCTGGCCCTGCTTCCCCTGAAAAACGCGGTGTGGGTGGCAGGCCTGCCCGGCCTAAAGCTGCGTAACCAGGGAGCAGTGCAGCCACTGGCCGAGGTCCCAGAGCAGTGTAGGAAACCAAGGCCTGGCGGTCACTGCCCCATCAGGCCTCGCTGTCCGGTGACTGGTGGTTGTTCATGGTGGAAACGCAGGCGTGCCTGCTGGTGAACTGGGGGCCTAGCTGCAGCCTCACCCTGGGCACAGCTCCCCTGCCCTCTGGGACCCAGGTGGGGAAGGGGTGGGTGGGGCACTCACCGGACACCCTCGTTGAGACTGAAGAGCTCCTGGTCGGGCAGCCCTTTGCGCTGGAAGACGGCAATCACCCCGTTGTGGATGCTGCGGGCAGAGAAGGAGGAGAGCTGCTGTCCACAGGCTTCCCTCCCTCCCCCCTAGCCCCACAAGCCCTGGAGGATGGCAATCACCCCCGTTGCGGATGCTGCGGGCAGAGAAGGAGGAGAGCTGCTGTCCACAGGCTCAGAGGCCCCCCAACCCCCATGGCGGCGATCACCCCATTGCGGATGCTGCGGGCAGAGAAGGAGGAGAGCTGCTGTCTACAGGCTCAGAGCCCCCCCACCCCCATGGTGGCGATCACCCCACTGCGGATGCTGCGGGCAGAGAAGGAGGAGAGCTGTCGTCCCAGGCTTCCCTCCCTCCCCCCTCGCCCCACAAGCACTGGAGGATGGTGATCACCCCCATTGTGGATGCTGCGGGCAGAGAAGGAGGACAGCTGCTGTCTGTAGGCCTGAGTCCCCCAACCCCCAGGCCCTGGAAAATGGTGATCACCCTGTTGTGGATGCTGGGGCAGAGAAGGAGAGCTGCCGTCCACAGGCTCAGAGTCCCCCCAAGACCCCAAAGGCGGTGATCACCCCATTGAGGATGCTGCGGGCAGAGAAGGAGGAGAGCTGCCTTCCCAGGCCTCCCTTCCGCGCCCCAGCCCCCCAGGCCCTGGAGGACTGCAATCACCCCTGTTATGGATGCTGTGGGCAGAGAAGGACAGCCGCCGTCCACAGGCCCCGAGCTCTCCCCGGCTCCCACATCCTGCTAGAGGAACAGAAATGGGCCCACTCAGCAGGAGCAGGGGGCCTGGCCCTCCTCTTACAAGGAGGCAGGATGGGACAGCAGGGTTGGCTGCCCTGTGTGACTCCATCCACACCCATCACCAACCCAAGATCCTGTGCCCCAGCTCCAGTCTCCCCCACGCCCCAGGCCTGCATCACCTCTGATCACCCCTCCCAGACGTCCTGTTCACCCCGCACCTGCTTGCAGCCAAACCTGGACCCGTCACTTTCCCTGTAAACTTGCTTCATCCCCATGTGCTTGAACATTCCCCCAGGCCAGAAACTAGGGGGGCACCCTCCACTGGCCTCCCCACAACATAGCCAAGTCTTGTGACTTGTGCCTTCTCAGCATCTCTGGACTCTGGTCACTTGACTTCCACCCTCCACCTCCATTCAAGCCTCCAGACTGCGGTGGTCAGCTCCTAACCACCCGGCTCCCAGGCTTCCCCCAGAGCCGTCGTCCACCCAGTGCCTGGCAGCTGCCCTGACTCTCACAACAGACCAGCTGTCACGCTTCCTTGGTGCAGAGGACAGCTGGCCACGTGCTGCTGTTCACTCCACGTATAGGCGGTGGCCACTGTGCTCCTGGTGCCCTTGTTGGCCTCATTAACTCCACTCTTCCCCGCTAGGGGAGCCCTGGTGGCGCACTGGTTAAGAGCTACGGCTGCTACCCAAAAGGTCGGCAGTTCGAATCCACCAGCTGCTCCTTGGAAACCCTATGGGGCAGTTCTACTCTGTCCTACGGGGTCACTATGAGTCAGAATTGACTTGACGGCAAGGGGTTTGGTCCCCATGAGGTGGACTGGCTGCCATTTTACAGATGAGGAAAGTGAGGCTCAGAGAGGCCACACCCCTGCCCCAGAGCACAGAGCCTGCAGTGTGGCCCTGGGTGCTGGCCCAGCAGCGGCTCTCTAGCGTCCTCGAATGGAGCCAGATGTCTTAACTCCCTAACGGTGCTCTAACAGAAATACCACAAGGGGCGGGGGTGCTTTAAGGAACAGAAATTTTATCTTCTCACAGTTCAGGAGGCTAGAAGTCTGAATTCAGGGCACCGGCTCTAGGGGAAGGCTCTCACTGTCGGCTCTGGGGGAAGGTCCTTGTCTCAGCTTTTGTCGTGTTCTTCTAGAAGTTCCTTAGAGATCTCCAAATGGCATCTGTCTTCGGCTGTTTGTCCTGGCTTCTGTGCCTAACCTGCTCTTTTTATGTCTCTAACGTGATTAGGTCTGAGACTCACCCTACACGGATATGGCCTCGTTAACATAACAAAGAAAATCCTAATCCCAAAAGAGATTACATCCACAGATAGTAATCTTTAGGCCTAACAACAATAATCTTTACAGAAAGGAGCCTGTAGTGCAGTGGTTAAGCACTCAGCTGCTAATGGAAAGGTCAGCGGTTCAGGCCCACCAGCCATTCTGAGTCAGCTTCCATAAAGATAAAAAAAACAAAAAACAAAAAACCAAACCCACTGCCGTCAAGTCGACTCCAACTCACAGTGACTTTACAGGACAGAGCAGAACTGCCCCATAGGGTTTCCAAGGAGCAGCTGGTGGATTCAAACTGCCGACCTTCTGGGTAGCAGCCGTAGCTCTTAACCACTACACCACCAGGGTTTCCATAAAGATTAGAGCCTTGGAAATCCTATGGGGCAGTTCTACTCTGTCCCACACGACCACTAGGAGTCCGAATGGACTCAGTGGCAAAAGGTTTGGTTTTGGGGTTTTAAGCTTTACAGCCTCACAGCCCAGATGGGGAAAGGGGGATCCAGGGAGGGGAGCAGCCTGAGCTTCCACCATGGGCCCCTGACCCGGCCAGGCCAGAGGCTGAGAACCAGCTTCGTCCAGGGGCCACCATTGGCTTCTCAGCAAGAATGGCCAAGAACACGCTGGACACATGTTACACGACGCGGGGCCGGGCCCTGGCACTGGACCGCCCTTATCGGTGTGTCCAATGACACCACGTCTCTAACTCCTGCTCTCCGTCTGTAAGACAGGGATCATGAGCACCTCCCTCCAGGTCGCTGTGAGGGTGGCATGACATCACGCATATGGAGCCCTTGCCCGGCCTAGGGGAGAGGCCCCATGTGTGTTCAGGGGCGGGTGGGGTTCACCTCCACCAGAACTCCCGGGTGGACCTGGCCCCACAAACTGCTTTCTCCACCTACAGACTAAAAGGATAAAAATCCGGGGGAGTCTGATGGTGCCAGGAAGCCAGCTGTCCACCAGCAGCCCCACCAGGAAACCCAGCAGCTGGCAACACACCCCTGCCTGGGCCAGCCCCACCCAGGGCCTCAGCTCTGCTAACTCAGCCCCAGGCTGCTGGCCAGAGTCCGCTGCAGAGCTTCTAATGGAGGGCTAGGGGTGTGGGGGCATTCTGGACACAGCCCCTGGGCCCAGCCACACCCTGAGGCTCAGAGAGGGCCAGGGGAGCCCTGCCAAGTTCTCCCTGGGGGCCCAGGCCTCCATCAGGGCGTGTAGTGGTCCTCCCACCCCACACCCAAACCAGGCCAGCCTGGATGGAGGCCTTGGGGCAGGAGGAAGCAGGGAGGAGCTTCCTTAACCCTTAACTTAAATCAGGCAGAGTGCTCAGACAGTTAGTAGTGACTCCAGCAAGGGGCCCACCCACACCAAGCATTCACCACACCCAGCCCACCCTGGCCCACCTGCCACCACACCCAGCCCACCCTGGCGCACCTGCGGGACGGTCTCTCAGCCTCCTCCTAACCACTGCCTGAGGGAGAGACTGTTATACCCCAGGTTACAGATGAAAACGCTGAGGCCCAGAGGGGCCAAGGGTCATCCCCAAAGTCACACAACTTGATGCCCGGCAAAGCCAGGGTTCAGACTTGGGTCCCTGGCCCACAGTCCTCCCACCACCCCCTACCCAAATCCTGGGGCAGGGAGGGGGGAAAGGCACCAGTAAGGCCTGCTTCTCCCTGTTTCTCTAAGGGCTGAGGCTCCCAGTTCTTTCCAAAGTCCAAGCTGGGTAAACGAAACCACCTTGCTGCAAGCCGATAAGGGGGAGAAGGCTGGGGAGAGCCTCATGTGACTTCCCATCTCCCCAAAATGGAAGTGAAACCCAGCTGTCCTGGCTGTGGCCTCCCAGAGCTGAGCGGGCAGGCCCAGTAGGGGTATATGCTAAGGATCCCTGGGAAGCCACAGGCTGCCTGGGAAGGAGCCAGGGCCACAGACCCGGTGCCAGTCCGCCCTGTCCTGTCCACCCAGTGCCACCAGAGCGCCCTGTACTCAGGGTACCAGGCCCACTCCTGATGAAGTGGGGGGCCCACCCAGCGCTGGGCCAGCTGCCCTACAAACACACAGCGTCCCCAGCCTCCTCTTCATTTCCAGGTGAAAAGCACACGCAGGTAGATGACTCAACCAAATCCCACCCATTGGCTGGGCCTCAATGTGACCTGGATAGTAGGGGTGATAACACCATCTCCAGGCCCGCAGGTGGGTTCACCTGAGCCTCAGCAAACAGGTGTCACACCCTGGTTTCAGTCTACCTGGTGCAAAATGCTGCCAACCCCCACAGGGGCTCTGGGCTGAGCAGGAGGGGGCCTACACCCACCCTCACTCCCCTGGGAGCCTGGCAAAGGCTTGGAGCTTTGCTCCAGGGGCTCACCCTCCCAGGTGGGCAGGCACCTGAGCCCACTCAGCAAACTTGGGCTCTAATCTGCCACCCCCAGGCTGCCTGGCCTCACTTCCCCTCCCCCACCCCGCCCGGCCCTTCCCTTCTGGAAGGCTGGGGGCGGGGGCTGCAGAGTCCCTGAGCCCAAGCTGGTGGGTGGGAGGCAAGGCACGTGTAAGGAGGGAAGGAAGCCCTGAGACTCAGTTTCCTGTGGCCACTGAAACACACCACCTCATGTTTAGTGGCTGCAAACAGCACACACTCATTTTCTTACCGCCTGGAGATCAGAAGTCCAAGATGGTCTTGTTGTTAGGTGCAGAGTTGGTTCTGACTCACAGGGACCCTATGTCCAACAGAAAGAAACACTGTCTG